AGGACCTGTAGGTTAGTCATCCAGGACCTGTAGGTTAGTCATCCAGGACCTGTAGGTTAGTCATCCAGGACCTGTAGGTTAGTCATCCAGGACCTGTAGGTTAGTCATCCAGGACCTGCAGGTTAGTCATCCAGGACCTGCAGGTTAGTCATCCAGGACCTGTAGGTTAGTCGTCCAGGACCTGTAGGTTAATCATCCAGGACCTGTAGGTTAGTCATCCAGGACCTGTAGGTTAGTCGTCCAGGACCTGTAGGTTAATCATCCAGGACCTGCAGGTTAGTCATCCAGGACCTGTAGGTTAATCATCTAGGACCTGTAGGTTAGTCATCCAGGACCTGCAGGTTAATCATCTAGGACCTGTAGGTTAGTCATCCAGGACCTGCAGGTTAATCATCTAGGACCTGTAGGTTAGTCATCCAGGACCTGTAGGGTAGAAGGTAAAATTCTGTTCTGGTCATCAGACGAGGTGCAGCTCGTGGTTTTATAGTTTTCGGGTCATCGGATCATGTCGGACATTTGGTTCGTGTTTCCAGAACTTTCTGCGGGTCCAGAACAATAAAACCAACTACAACCTGGTSTGTGAGACTCTGCAGTTCTTGGACATCATGTGTGGCAGCACCACAGGCGGGCTGGGCCTGCTGGGCCTCTACATCAACGAATCAAACGTTCACCTGATCATCCAGACCCTGGAGACCCTCACAGAGTACTGTCAGGGTCCGTGTCAGGAGAACCAGGTACCTCCAGCTCAGATGTCTATTATTGACCTAGACATGGTGCTTTTAGCTGATCTTCTGCTACTTTTAGCCTCTTGCTGCTCTCAGCTACCAGCTGACTGAAGAGTTTTCAGAAACTTGAATTATTCCGTTGATCAGAATCAGAATCACTCAGGTGTTTTTCAGACGTGCATCGTGACCCACGAGTCCAACGGCATCGACATCATCACCGCCCTGATCCTGAACGACATCAGCCCTCTGTGTCACTACCGGATGGAGATGGTTCTGCAGCTGAAGGTGGGCGGGGCTTCATATTTTCAGTAGAAAGACATTTAACAGCTTGAATCCTGGGATTGTTCACTTCCTGTTTCCTGTCTGGTTGCCAGGACAACGCCTCCAAGCTGCTGCTGGCTCTGATGGAGAGTCGCCACGACAGTGAGAATGCCGAGAGGATCCTGTTCAACCTGCGGCCACGAGAGCTGGTCAGAACCAGAACCATAAAGAAGCTGTTTACAGAGCCGGGTGGGTTCTGTGTAACTGTGTAACTGTGTGTGTGTGTGTGTGTGTGTGTGT